AGAGGAGCGGGGAGGAGGAGAGGAGAGGAGGAGAGGGGAGGAGAGGAGAGGAGGAGAGGAGGAGAGGAGGAGAGGAGAGGAGAGAGGAGAGGAGGAGAGGAGAGGATGTTGTTTGATGAAAAAAGAGGATGATGTTGCTTCAGAGACCATTTGTTTTTTTGCTGTAATTGTTTCTGAATTGAATGAAATTGGATGGAAACAGCAGAGCTTCAGTACGGACTGCTCATTGGGAACGAGTCACAATCAGGAACCAAACGTAGCTTGCTGAGCGACTCCATTCAGTGGAGACGTTGTGTTTACCTGAGGGTTTAAGCTCAGAACAGATGTGCTCTGCCAGCAGCTTGACCCCCAGAGAGCCATCCCCCATCCTCTCTGGCTTCCAGGCCTGGAGGCGCCCTCTGTGGACCACTATCTGAACTACAGTGGAAATCAGGTCCTCCAGGAACTGTGGAGAAATTAAAAAAGGACCATAATAGGGCATCAGTAGAACAGAATCCTTTATTGTCATTATACAGGAACAATGAGATAGTAGAGCGGTGTGAATCAGCAGGGAGGGTGTGACAGTAAACAAAGTAGAGACTAACAGAAATACCACAAATGATAACAAATTAGTATTTCATTTTACCCTCTACTCACCTCTGCTACCTGCTCACAGGGGACCACAGTCGCTGGCCCGGCCCCTCGCTGGGCCATGGCCCTGACCAGGGGGGCCCGCTCCTCTGCAGTGCCCCTCAGGGTGTCTGCCAGGAAGATCACCAGCTGCTCCCGCCCGACTCCAGAGGCAGCAGAGGAGCTGCTCCTCCCAGCAGCTGGGGGGGCTGCCAGCCCAGGGTCAATGCTGCACATGCACTGATAGACCCTCCTCACCATAGACTCAGGGGCCACGCTGCCCATTGAGGACTAGGAGAAGACAAACAAGTGGATGACAGCAATGATTTTTGCTTAGTGAAAGATTGAGAGATATGCAGCATTCAATGTAGTAGTTCACTAGGTCAAAACATCAAATTTTTCTGTAAACAAAGATAAGAAAGAAGTCATTTATGAAGTCATTATTAGAATTTGAAAAACTGGAGATTCTCCAAAATGTCTGTGTCATTCAGACTCATGGTAGACTCTTAACAATCTTATAGATCAGGAGATATTTTTTCACCTGAGAAGAGTTTTATTTTCTAATTAGTGTCAGGCCTGATGTGACAATATGCATCCCTGTTGAACTGTTGACAACCAACAGCTCTGTTTGAATTTACTGTTTTGACCAACACACCTGCAGCATTTCAAGCGTTAGAGTATTTCCTGCTGGGGTCTTCCCTGGGGCTGCTGAAGGGCCCCCTCCGCCCTGGAGCTTGTCAAAGACCCCCTCCACCACAGGCCGCTCCTCCGGCCGAAAGCGGGCCAGCCGCTTCTGCACCGACACACTCTCAGTGTTACCCATGATGCTCTGCAATCCAACACAAAGAGTCATTAAGTACACATGCAGCAGAGTAACAAAGGAGTGGTGCTGAGGTGTCAGCTGATCCCCGCAACATCATCATGGCTGCTGCTGTTATCATTCATTTACTTATTATTGGGCTGTTTAACTATTCAGTAGGGCAGTGGTTCCAAATCTTTCGCTCATATGACGGCATGAATGAAGCAAAGTGAAGTTGTAACCCCTCACCACAAGCTAATGCCTGGGTTTTTTCCCAAATAGATATTTAGGCTTGAGTGAAAGGTTGTTAACATTTAACAAGAATATTGATTTTTTTATCAAAGAGTGTTGCACCCAGTGGTGTACTTTTAGCCAAGTACTGTACTTAAGTACAATTTTAGGTACTTGTACTTTACTTTTGTATTTCCATGTTATGCTACTTTTTCTACTCCACTAAAGTTCAGAGGTAAATGGTGGTACAGATGTGAATGAATGATGTGAAATATAATCAGGTGTTAAATCAGACTTTAGTTCCACCTGGAGTAAATTCACAAGCTACCCTGCAGTATACAAAGTCATTCAAACTAGCTGCACCTTTACCAGCTTTGAGA